TGATCTATGGCCGCACATACGTTTATTTAGCCTTCCTTTCGATTCACCAACGTATACAAATCCGCAAAGGTTACACTCTAATCCGCAGACGACATTTACAATCTAGATCTAAAGATTTGGATTTTATATTCTTGTGGGTAAAGGTCTCCTATAACATCTTGTGGTTGAAAATCCTAGGTTCAATTCATTCAGTGAAGGTATATGAAATGACAGGTGTTCTTTGTCTTTGAAGTAATCAGGTATTGCTTTCTGCATAGGTTTTTGGTGGAAAAATTAGAGCCACAAAGTAAGATTTAATAAATTATAAATGAAAAAATAAAATGCACACGATTTGAATAGGAAGCAGATATTTGTTATATAATGAATATAGATTGTGAAGTTTGAAAACAAATGATTGTTCATGAATTTTCTGTGGAATTTTGTACGGCCAATATTTTTTTTTTTTGGGGGGGGGGGAGATGATTGAAAGGGGTCGTCATTAATTTACATAATAGCCATGCTTCATGTGATTCGTTAATCAATCCTCTGACACTGATTCTTATATATTGAGCTGTTAAAGGACGATATCTGATTCTATATAACTTATACATTTTTGCAAGTGATTGTGAAATATTCTTTATCAATCCTCTCTACTTCTTAACTGTTAAATGTGTTTTCGTTCTAAATATAGTTGTTATATGTATGCCTCATGTTGTTTAAGAAAAAACCGAATATTTTTCATTCGGTGTATAGGCACTATTTACTTTATTAGATTATACTGTATTGCAATTCTTAATATAATACATAATAGATGATCTCTAATTGGTATTATCCTTTTGCCACCTGTAGTAACCCCTAAGAGATATTAATTTGGAAATATATTTTATACATTCAGATTATAATTTTTGAATACTGTATAAGACAATTAGTAATGTCGTTATTACACAAAAATGTAATCTGCTGAGTTTAAAATACGCTTACGGCTGATAGATTGTATAGTTCAGTAAGATGTAAATAGATTTATAAACACAACTATTTGTCCAAAATCAATCCAGGGCAATTAATAATTAACAAATATACACACTTAATGCCGTTATAAGACTCTTGCTATTGAAATCGATGGAAATTTTGTCGATTGTGCTATGGCAAAGTATTTGTAACTTGTAAAGAAGATGCAATGGAGAATTATCTTTACTTTTTTGTGTACATATGTCAAAAAAGCTGCTAGGGAGTTTATACCAAAATAAGAGGAAATGATGATACAATATGCTTGTTAAACAAACGATACAGTACCCCATCTTTCACTGACTACAAGATCTTAGAACAGTACATTAGAAAACACATTTTTTAGGTTGTAAAGAAAATTGGTTTGAAGTAAAAAAAGGTTCATTTATATTAGATATATATTTCATATAGTAATTGAAAAGCTTGTTTGCACGATCAGTAATAAAATTTATATTAATGAATTACAACTATAAATTCCTAGTATACAGACCAAAATAAATTAATACAGACCCAAAGAATATTGGTTTACAGAATAAGGCATTAATAAAATGTAATAAATGAATGGAATTATAATATTTGTAAAACTGACACATTTTCTTTTTGCACTTCTTAATTAACGTCATTTCAGAATAGAAAAAGAATGGCAACGGGGAATATGTCAAAGAGACAACAACCCGACCAAAGAGCAGAAAACAGCCCAAGGCCACCAATGGATCTTCAACGCAGATATAAAAAAAATCCCGCACCCAGAGGCGAGTTTCAGCTGGCCCCTACACAATTGTGTATACTAGTTCAGCGCAATGGACGTCCTACTAAACTCCTGAACATAAAAATGAACAAAACTTTTTTAAAAAACACACATAAGACTAACATGTATTTTGTGCAGCAGCATCGACGGATTATTCTATATTAAATAACCGAAGAGGGAAATTTGAAATTCAATATATAAAGATAATATTCGAGATTTAAAATTCAAAACCTTAAGAGACCAATAAGAAAATGATTACAACAAGAGCGTCAATAACAGCAAAATTATCAAGATAAAGCTACTAAGCCAAATAAAGAAACTAAAACAAAACATAGATAAGAATAATTCTCTAGTTCACTGGTTTATTATTCTTATTTCATATTTCCGATGCATTACCTATTTTTTACTAGTCAGGATCAAAACAACAGGTGAACTTGAAAGGTTGGATCCGCTTTCTCTTCCAGTAACCTCAAATGATCGTTATATGTTTTCGTAGTGTGCACACGAAAGCTTTTTTTCATTCATGTACATTATATGCTTTATCGATCCATTTACTGAATTTTCCTGTAGTGTGTTCTGAGAAAATGCCTTACCAATGTGTAAAATACGGCAAAAAAACGTTTTAAAGTCAACATTGATTTTTCTATAACAATCAAATGACCAATATATAGTAGGGTTTTCAAAAAAACTTCAAAAATAATCTGTATCAACTAATTCAGAAATACACAAAAAAGATTTTTATTACATATTATTGGTAGACAAATGTTTTCTATAGGCGTTAATGTAAAATAGCATCCCAATTGGTGGCCATAAGCGTCGCTAATTAGGAAAAAAGTTAAATAATTTGTAAGCTTCTCATTTTTTTACAATTGTACTGACTTAAACTCATTGGTTTCTCGATTATCTAGTACTTGATTTCCGTACATATAATCGAAATATGAAATAAGAATAATAAACCAGTAAATAAGTTTCCAAATAACGATTATATTGGTTAGCTTATCAGTACCAAAATAATAACTGTTTTAGATAACTTACAAAGAAACTTTCGGTTTTATTTGGCTTTGAACAGTCGTTCAACTTTATACTTCCCTACAAATCTAATATAGAGACCGATTTAATAAATTTTATGCAGTTTGCATCAATACTACATGAATTATTGACAACAACAAAATAAAACTCCATATTTACCACGAAATCAAGCTGTAGTTTTAACTGATTATAATTGAACTCGCTTTCTGATGACCAACTTTGAAGATCCTACTACTTGATGTGTTGTTCAACTTTTTCTCACCATGAATATGCTTGAGTATGTGCAAAAACATCAATCAATCAACCTAAGTAATATATTTTGTTTTGTGGTGTTGTTTCACTGTCTCATTGAAGTGGATTCAAAATATCCTTTGTATAGAACGCTTGAGACTTTCCATTGCAGGAAAATTTGATCTGTTCAGTATATTTCAGAGAATCAAGTGGTTGATTAATTATAGTCATAAGTTTAAAAACCGATATTAAAAAAGTATCAACGTTTTGACTATTTATAATATCGTTCAGAGAGTACAAATTTATGCAATCATCAAATTGAGAAGTTGTACGCGTTTGATCTCATGAGTTTTAGAAATGCACGCAAAATGTTTGTCTGGCGAACAAACTTTTAAGCCTGGTATTTTTCATGAGTTTACTTACATGTTTACGAAGGACAACGGGCAAACACAAACAAGCGAATACAGTTTTATATTCGTTTTTGTTCTTGATATATTTTAAGGATTACATGCTTTAATATGATATATTTTTAGTTTCTGAAGTTTTTTCTTGTGATAAAATTCATTTATAAGCAAACAGCAACTACCACATTATTTAAACAGAAACATTAGTAACACAATATTAAACATACGAAAACACGTCTTATGTAAGTTTATCTTTTTCATTTATATTTTTATTTTCGGGAATACATGTGGGTGAATCTAATAAGACCGAAAAACCATTAGTTTGCCTTTGAATGACGAAAAGCCCCAACAAGGAATAAAATGTGTCATTGTTGGGCATCTAGGATCGCGCGTCTGGCATACACAATTCTAAATCTGGTATCTATGATGAGTTTATTTTAAACCACTCGGTGCCACTGCTTGTGGGCGTTTCCTCTCCGAGGGTATCAGCAACCGAGTAGTCAACACTTCTGTGTTGACATGGGTTATCATTGATATGGTCATAATTTTTAATTAACTGATTACAAATATTTGAAATTTTTGAAATTCTTAGAATTTGCTATCCCAGGAATAGATAACCTTAGATGCATTTGACAAAACCTTTTTGAATTTTGGGTCATCAATGCTCTTCAACTTCGTACTTTATTTTATCCTTTTATCCTTTTTGATTCGAGTGTCACTGGTTAGTCTTTTGATAACGAAACGCGCGTCTTGCGTACAATATTTTAATCCTGGTATCTATGATGAGTTTATTCATAGTTAAACAATTCATTTGAATATAATTTCTATTTCAGTAATTATTCCTATGACCTTTGAATGCTTTTACGTATTTCGTATCATACTTGATCAATTTGTTTGCAGAACATTTAAAGTCCGTAGTCTCGGTTTTAATCCAAGATGCAAATAAATCATAGGTAACATGTTTAATCTTTGATAGCGAATTCAATTCCTAGAAAATAAATTCCAGAACCTGTAATGTCAATTTTTTCAATATTCAATAGATGGTTTCAAATTTTGGAAATGTTTCTCTCGAATTATGTGATTGCTTATGAATACGAATGAACATCTCTCATATGAATAGCAAAAATGGTATTCGATAAAAAAAAATCTTGGTTGGTCATACACGGACTGTCGTAGAAATTAACGTTACCATCAAAGAGTTCATTGATTTTTAAACAGAAGAAAAAAATCCCTTTGTTTACCAATAAACGACAAAAACTAAAACTAAATTCGATATTAATTATAATATTTATAAATCATCTTTCATTCATCATTTATAGTGATGAGTCGAAAACAGATATGTTTACCTGTTTTTGTTAAAAGATCATGCATAGTGAATGGTTTCGCATTCGAGGCCTTACTAGTCATTTCAAATATACTATAACTCTGATCGTTAACTATTTAAAAACAACTAGTATATTTGAAGTTATGAATCGATATGAATAATTCTTACCTAAAACGTTTCATCTTTCAAAACCTGTAATAGCGGGGTATTTTTGTATATGAGGTAAAATAATAAGTTCAATTGAAATAAAATATTCGTTAAATATAAAAATTGAACTTACCATAGTAGTTAATATTATCTCTTTTGTCTTTTCAATTTCCACACTTCTTTGGACTTAAATATTTTCTGGAATATCACGTGATGTGGTGAAATCTTCCTGATTGCTTAATTTAGCATTTAGTGTTAACGACGTCAAACTTCTCAACAAACATCCAAGCTATATGGTTTTTGTTGTATCTAATTCCATCAATATATGACTTAACTTATAATGATACATCTCAGAAGATTGCCAATCAATGCATGTAAAAGACGTCGTAAGTGTTAGATGAACTATGTAAATATTTAATAATTAATTAATACCAAACATAGTCATAATATAGTATAATTCACAGATAATGTTTTCGTTACAGTTACATATTATAGTTTTGCTCTTAACAGACTAGTACTAAATACTATATTGTAAAGCTACCTGTAATTGTATTTTAGTAAATGAAAACCAGGAATAGAAGTAATTGATAAATCATATCCATAGATGCATATTATTTACTTTTACAGAAGGGTTATGGTTTTAAAAAAATATGTCAACAGTATTCATCCCATTTGCATTGAAAAATAATAATAGTTATAAGTTTTTTGTGAGTATATCTGATTATGTTCGTCCTCCGCAATCGGGTCTGGAACCTGTACTTGTTTCCTCCAACTTTTATGGCAACGCCGCCTATCTCTATCTATAGCTAACTATATACCAGCTTTCGTTTCGGGAGGTGTTACTTTCTTGTATGTATTGAACAGTGACGACTAATCATAAAACACGACGTATTTCCAAGTGTACAGGGATACGCATCTACTCGTCTCATTATTATATATGCAGGATTCTATTTTTAGCATACGATCACTACGAATTTATATTAAGATGTAATGACAACTGCAAATTATACCTTAATCATTGGGTTTCCTGTGACTATTTCCTTGATGTGAAAATCGAATTTGCTTCCCCAATCCATATATTTTGATTTTAACAGGTCTATAACACAGGTACCGAACGCTCTTGTGATGCAAGTAAACATATCTTAATTGATAGTATTCATAGGGTCTGAACAGTGAGTAATTTACCAAACTGATGAAGATAAACTTTTCTAACACTGCACATGACTTAAATTCTCATTGCTTAAATCTTTATGATTGGTTAAGATCAAAATATATTACTAATGTTTGACAGCTTTAAGTTGTAATAAATAACTGTGGCACTTTAATAGTAAACAGATTCATGATAGCAAGAGAATACGAAATAATCGTGGAATGATAGATTCTGCAAAAGAGAGGCGAAAGATACCAAAGGGATATTCAAACTCAAAGTCGAAAACAAACTGACAATGTCTTGCCTGAGTAGTGTCCTGGTAGTTAAATAGACAGCATGTAACAATCTCTTGAGTATCTTATCAACTACATTTTTGTAAGATACGTAATCGTAAGATACTTTGGAAGATGGTATGATTATCCTTTGAGATTAAGCCATTGACAAATGAAAAAATCACCGGGTTTATCAAAGCTCTTTCATTTCAGTGGTCCCTCAAGAGGGAAAACCTAGATATGAATCAGTGGCAACAGTAGTTGACCGATTTACAAATCTCATAAATCCATTTATAATTCAGATTAAGTAACGAGACCGGTCTCCTGTTTTGCATGCGAATCTACACTCAGTCAAATTGTCACAACCGAGAATATGACACAATCGGTAAATTTAAAGGTCAGACGACTACAATGCTATTTAAATATCGAATTATAGTCATTTCGTACCCTAATCATTTCGTATCCTGGCAAAACCATTTCGAACCCTGACCATATCGTACCCTGACCATATCGTACCTTGACCATTTCGTACCTCATGGAATATATACATGTATACCATTTCGTACCTCATGTAAGATTTATATGTATGCCATTTCGTACTTCATGGAAGATTTATATGATTTTGAATTCTTGGTAAAAACTATCTCATTGATGTGCGCCATTTCGTACCTTATGGAAGATTTATATGTATACCATTTCGTGCCTCATGGAAGATTTGTATGTATGCCATTTCATACCTCATTGAAGGTTTGTATGTATGCCACTTCGTAACTCGTGGAAGATTTATATGTGTTTCATTTCTTGGTTAAAACAGTCTCAATGACTTTTTACTGTGAGGCGTTAGAGGTCACGAGCACCAATGAGATATTATATAAAAATAAAAGTCAATAAACGAAATTTTTTGAAATATGTAAAACTTTGTTTTTAAGATATTTATTTCAAATTTTAGCTAGCGCTTTAGTAACAGTTCACATCTCTGCCGATAACTTTGATTTTTTTACTTTGGTATAAACTTGTAACTAAAGACACGCGCCTTACTGGCGTATTATGTTTTAAAAAGGTAGCATTCTATTTAATTGGATTATATTTTTTTATTGAATTCAATTCAAAGCTTTATTTATAGTCGGCATGTCACATAACAAATAAACATAAGCTCTTTGAGTTTTTATAACTGACAAATACATACATTTACTCAATAATCATACACAATACTAATATATTAAAACATAAAAGACATAGAACATACAATTCATACAAATTTAGGCTGAACTAATTTAAATACTATGTATTTTATTCATGCATGAACACTAAGCTAAAGGCAGCATAAAAAATAAAGCACAGCAATAACAAATTATAAAAAGCTAAGCAAATAAACACAAAAAAGTTCTAAATACCTCTATTGCCATGGTTCTTAGGCGTCTTACTTTAAGTGATGGCATTTTTTATTTTAAAAGTAAGTCTTCATATGTGCTATTGTAATCCTGGTAAATGAAGCGGAGTGCTCTTTCTTGTACTTTTTCAATTTTTGTAGTGTTTGCCTCGCAGCAGAAATACCAGGACAATGAGCAGAAATTAAAGTTTGACATAATAAAAGAGTGATATATAATTGTTAATTTTCCAAGTTTATTCAAGTATTTGCCAAGTCTTTTAAGACATTTAGTTGTCTGGATGATTGTTTGCAGATGTTTGATATATGTGTGTTGAAATTTAGTTCAAAGTCAATGGTGATGCCTAATCGTTTGACCTCTTTTTCACATTTTATTTTGTTACCTGCCAGATAAAATGTAATGTTTTTGCTCATTGTTTTTTTGCCAATTGCCAAAGCTTGATAATTTTCAGGTTTTGCCTTCATTTGATTGGAAGAGAACCAGTCTATCAGAGCCAAACTGTCTTTTTCAAATGTGGAAATAACTGTGTTTATATCTCTATTTGCATAAGAAAGTGTATTGTCCTCAGCATAATTGTAAAGTGAACTGTGTGTGGTGAAGTGAAAGATATCATTTAAGAAGATGTTGAAAAGTATAGGACCAAGAATACAACCTTGTGGTACTCCTTTGTATATATTTTGCCAATGGCTCAGACTAAAGCCAACTCGAACACATTGTTTCCTCTTGGATAAGTAATTTTTTATCAGTTCTAAAGAGGAAGTTGAAAGACCATAAGCTTCAAGCTTAAGCAGCAAAAGATCGTGAGGAAGACAGTCGAACGCCTTAGATAGATCCATTATTATTGATCCAATAAACTTATTTTGATCAAGTGCCATTTTCATGTCCTCAATGATTCGGAGTAGAGTAGTTTGACATCCGTATTTTGGTCGAAAAACAGATAAGTATGGATGAAAGTGTGTATTGAAGTATTCAACTAGCTGGTTGTAAATTGCTCGTTCGAAAAATTTTGAAATAACTGGAAGTATACTTACTGGTCTATGGTTGCCCACATCAAGTACATTGTTCTTTTTGTGTAATGGTACAACTTGTGCCTGTTTTAGTTGGTCTGGAAAAGTGGCTGATTTTATAGTCTTGTTTATTAATTCAGTTATTGGTTTTGTTATAACTGGTTGTGCTAGTTTTAGGACTTTAACTGAGATGCCATCTATTCCTGTTGCCTTTTTTATGTTTAAATTTTTAAGTTGTTTGTCTACAAATTCATTTGAGATGGCACTAAATTCTAGTTTTTGTGTGGCAGTTTTGTTTTCGTGTATTTTTGTAACACTTGGATGGTTATTATTAGCAGGTGTATTGTTGCCAATATCTTTACCACATTTATAAAAAAATCATTGAAGTGTTCTGCTACTTTCTTTTGGTCACTTATTATAGTTTCTTCATCACATAAAAATTATATTTTTTGTGAAGTTGTTGCCTTTGTTTGTAATGAAAGGTTTTATAGTTGGCCAGAAATCAGATGTTTTTGGTCCGCCTATGAAGCGTTCATAAAAGTATGTTTTAATGGGTTTTTTCTTTATTTTATTAACTAGATTTCTCTGTTGTCTATAGAGTTCCCAGTTATTACTTGATTTTTGTTTGTTATACCTGTTGTACAGTTGTCTTTTTTTGTACACTGCTTTTCGTAGTTCCTGGTTCATAAATGGTGCAGGTTGTTTACATTGTTTTCTTTTCTTCAAGAGAGCATGATGGTCTAAAACATTTACCACAGTCTTTTCAAAATCTGAATATGCCTGATTTATATCATCTTGATCTATTATTCTAGAGAATTCAATATTTTCTAAGTCTGCAATAAAATTTTCTTGGTCTAATTTTTTAAAGCTTCTATACGTTTTATACTCTGTGGTCTTATTTGAAATTTGACCCTTTATCTGTACACTGGTCATATTGTGTACATCACTTAGACCAGTATTAAAATTTCTTATATTCATACATAAACTAGATTTATTTGTCAGTACAACATCTATCAGACTTGGATTATTCCCCTTAGTATGACATGTAGGTTCATGGACCAGATTTGTTAAATCACAAACATCACAGGCCTCTCTTAAAGTATTACTTTTCTCGTTTACTAGCATATCATAAATGAGATCTCCTAACATTAAAATATTATCATATTTTGTTGAAGCTTTGTCAAAGGTATCTATAAAGTCTTTGCTAAATTCTGAATTTGACATAGATGGTAGTCTATATAAGCCTGTTATCAGCCATTTTCTATTATTGACAAATATGTCTACACAAATTGATTCTACTGAGTTAAATTCTAAATTACACTTCCTGTCACATACCAGATCTGATCGAGCATATGCGACAAGTCCTCCCCGTTCTGGTTTCTATCCGCTCTCCAAAAATGATAGTCATTTACACGAAACTGAGCATCTGGAAAAGAACTGTCTATTTTTTTGTTTCAGAAATAAATAACATTTCAACTAGACTAGATGATAGTAAATCTTCAATAAAGCAAAATTTATGCCTTAGGCTAATTATATTTAAGTATGCACAGGTGAATG